TACCGTATACACTATACACCTTTTAACTATTTTGAACGTTTTTACATTTTTAATTTCTAAAAAAAAAGATTTGGTGTTGGTCAATTAATATTTATATTATACATGGATTTAATATTATGTTATTTAATTTTGTTTTATTTTCAAATGGTTTTCTGCTTTTAAGCCGGGCGATAAGATATAGGTATACCTAAGTTACTAACATATTTATCTATAACACTATATATCCATACCAGTCAATTTTTTGATCATAAGCATTTAGTTAACAGTCAATAAAAATTGAACGACAAGTCTTGAGAGAGAATTGTAAAAGAAAAGCCCACGCTAATATTTCTACCAGGCCATTAAAAATTATACGAACTGAATTAATTAAAGATACCGACAGTTACGACAATCATGAGGAATCACGAATTTTACTTTTTTACGTAGCTATGATGTAACGTCATTGTAATATTAATTGTAATATTGAATAATATTTATTTAATAAAAAAATGTTTTAATTGTATCCTCGAACAAAATAAAATATATTTTGAAATCATAAACTTGGCAACGTTTTTTAGAGCATTATATTTTGGTAGATTTAATCCGGGCCCTAATTATGAGTACGTATAGTAAATATTTATATTATAAACTTTAAACTTATATAATATATTATATTATTATATTTACAATTTTAGAAGGCAAGTATTAACTATTAATAACTTGTATAGAGTAATATAGACATATAGCACTCTGATATTTTACATGTATAGGTACGATAGGTATATATTTTAATTGTGTTGCTTAAATTTTAAATTATAATTTATAAATTCCTGTACAAATACTATATCAGGAGTAAACAACCCGTGGCCCGATTGCCGGATGCGGCTTGTGGTAGATTTTGATGCGGCCCTCATAATTGAAACCATTAATTAATTGTAGGTAGGTATATAATAAATGTATATTACGAAAAAAATTTATTTTAAAAATATAAAACTCCAAAATATTAAACATCAAATAAACATAAAAGTTATTAGTGTTTTATCTTTATTGACTCCGATACCAATATTCCGTGTCATTTATCAACAAAAAAATGTCTGTTTTGGGAAGCCAAAATTTAAAATTCCCAATAGTTTTCCAAAACGCCCGGAAAAACATAATAAAAATTAAGAAAACACAAAATTTTTACTTAAAATCGGTTTTTGACAAAATCGATTTTGGCGTTTAGTGTTACTCTAAAACAAATGATAGTAAATACATGAAATTTTGGCTTAATGTTTATATCCGCCTTTTATTTACTTGAAAACATTTTCAAAATATTTTGACTTGTTTTGAACTGTTTATATACTCAGTTTCCAACTTTTTTAGGTTTTTTTTCTATTAATGTCAATAAAACTTAATTTATTGTTTAAAAAGCTTTCAAATTTAATACAAAGCTCCTACTATATAGTTACAATGAGATTTAAAAAATATAAAAAATCCTTAGACGAAGTTTTTTTTTATAAGCATTTAAATTTCAAATATTGATATTTATATTTATTAATATTTATTAATATTTGTTGGTTAAAAAAACTTGAAAATTTAATACCCGGCTCCTACTATATTGTTACAATGGCATTTGAAAAATATTAAAAATCCTTATTCACAGTTTTTTTTTATAAGCATTTAAAGTTCAAAAATTGACAAAATATGGAAAAATCACGAAAATTAGCAAATTATTTTGAGTTAAGAATTCGTAAAAAATTTTCTTTTTAAATCTAAGGTTTTAAAATGTAATACAAGATTCTTATTTATAAGATTATCTAAATTTATCAAAAAAAAATGTCTATAAGAAAGTCAAATTAAATTTTTATTATTTTTATGAAATTCAAATTTTTACAACATGGATATTCACTCGATTTCTCATGTAGCAATTTCCTTATTTTGTTGTAATTCAAAAACGAATAACTATAGATACATGAAAATATTCCTAAATATTTGTATTCTCATTTTCTAAACACCATCATATTTTGACTCTTTTTGAGCTGTTGTTAGTTTTCAATTATTTTGGTTTTTTTTTTCTATAATTGTCAACAAAATTTGTTGGGTAAAAAAGCGTCAACATTTAATACAAGGCCCCTGATATAGAAAAATATTATAAATACATTGGCACAATTTTTTTTTATAAGCATTTAAGGTTGGAATTTTGACAAAATTTAATAATTATTTTGTAGTTAAATATTTATAAAATGTTCAACTTTTAAATCTTAAGATTGAAAATTTAAAACAATGTTCCAAGTAAATAGGTTATATATAAATTACTTTATTCATAATAATATCATCAAATACCTATACTTAGTAATATTGTTCGGCGACGGCGAAATACCGGCCGCTACGTCTTTCGTGTCACCCGCACGACGCGCTACAGTCGGACGGCAGGTGGTAGGGACCCGGACGTCGACAACGACGCCCGACCTCACCGCCGGCCGGGCCGGTGTCACCGGCGATTTGTACCCCCGAGAATTTTTACCGGGGGGGGGGGGGGGGGGTAAAAATCGCCTGAGGTGAAATTCGCCTGAGTTAAAATCGCCTGAGGTAAAATTCGCCTGGCGTAACCGGCGATTTTTACCCACCTTCGAATTTTACCGGGGGGGTAAAACTCGCCTACAAATTTTTCTAAGATGCAAGAGTTATTTATCGCATCCACTAATGCAACAGTGTTATGATTTTTGTCCATATAATGTTTTATAATAATATGCAAATGTCCACTTAATGGTATTAGTAAAACCTTTTACTCTTATTAATCAATAATTTTTTCTATATAACTTATAAGTTATAACCTACCTATTCAAATAAATGTTTTTAAACAAAATTAATTATTTGTTTAATTTATCTACAGTCTACACAACTATTAAAGTCAAACTACCATTTTGTTTTGTTATTAATAATAGGTTTTACAAAATAGTAAATACTTAACGTCTTAACATAATTTCATAATAACCAGCATGAAATATTTATGTTTAATATTATTATAATAAATGTATACTACCGATATAATAATTTGCTTTTCGAAGTTTCTATTTTTGGACGTATTACGTATTTGTGTTTATGAAAAATGAAAACAAGATGTATACATAATATATTTTTGAACGTTTCTATTAAGCTAAACATCTATTTTTGAATCCACAATTCAGTTATAATTGTTATTATTGATATTTGGTATTTACATATAAATTTTATTTTTTTATCATTATTTGTCCTTAAAATTATTTTATTCGAACATTTTATAATCACTCCTAGCTTTACTGCTGTACAATATGGTTGTTCCATAATATGAAGTGATTTATGATATTTTATACCCAACTATTTTGTTCAAAGTACCTACCTGTATTCAATTTGTGTTTATTATTTTTTTAATTGATTTTGAGAAAAGACGTACGTACAAAAGAAGGTAAGTAATTTATAAAAGTATTTAAGTATTTTTTGAGCTTTAATAATAACTATAATTTTTAAATTAATTTTGTATTTTGTATTTAGGTGTGTATACTGTACCTTGATATTATATACTTTATTTTAAAATATAATTATCATATTTAGAATAATTGTGCTGTTATATTGTGTCGTAACTTCGTAAGTATATTTTCTATTAATTAAAATATAATATATTTAATTTATATTCATATTGTAGTAATAATAGTAAATAATATCCTATCAGAGTTTTATATGCATTGAAACGTAATACTTAGCCACTTAACTAGGTACATGATATTAAATGACAACACGTCAAATCTATATTTTATATATAATAATAATATATTACCTATATTGGATAAATTATTATTAATAGATCAATATTTTCTAATTGCAACGTGACCACGTCATGGTACTGCGTGGATTTAAATGTTTTAAAAAATAAGAAGCTCGTAAGGCTAGGTAATGAGACATTATTTTCCTATTATTAATTCTACTGAATGATTAGAATTTTGAAACAAATCCAGCGACACAATTGCTATTTAAGTAAAAAAAAAAATAAGTCGAAGCACACGACCGTGTATATATATTATCATTCAAAAACCTAAACATTCCCATTTAATATGTGTTAATATTTTTGTATTATTTATTAAAGGCGACAGGTCTAATAAATGGACCAAATCGTTAGAATGAGGTATTAATCGTATTAATAAATAATATTATTATAAACGCGCTATGGAGACGGCAATAATAAATATAATATATATAAAATTTATAAAAACTAATAATATACCAACAAAAACAATATGTCAACTCCATGTAAAAAAAAAATTAATTAGTTTAATCCATTGTTGGGTGCACGGGATAAACAATTAACCCAGACCTATTAATACAGTATTAAATATGATAATTTATAAAAAAACTAATGATATTCTAACAAAAGCACTCCGTCAACTACGTGTCTACGTGTAAAAACGCTAAGTGAAAAAAACTTAAAGATAAATGCTATAAAATGTGTAATATAAGATGGAGTCTAAGTAAATGGGCTAATCGCTCTAAATGTATAAAATTTATATAATATATAAATATATAATAATATATATTATATTATTAGTAATTAATCAAAATTTAATAAAAATTGGTTATTTATATTTATTTATTATATGAATTATTTTAACTAAAATTAATCCAAATTTAGTTTACTTGGCCGAAGGATTCAGTCCAGTCTCTAAAATATCCAAATTTTCGTACTACACACATACCTAATCCCAAATCGGTCAAATCTAAATTATTTCTAGATAAACACTAGTATACTATATACCACCGTTCATGACTAGCTGATAATAATAAAAATAGCTACTCTTAATAACAATGAATAATAATAACTATATAATAAGAGTATAGTACGTAACAACACAAAATATTGTTTACTGTGTATCTATGTATAGTAGATAATAATTAAAATGTGGTTTAGCAAAAGAATATAAAAATATTTTAAAGAATCTTCTAACACTAATGGAGTTGACTTAAAAAATAATGTCGAAGAAAAACTAATAGGAGAAAACGATGAAAATATGTATGAAGGAGTTAATGAAGACTTCAACGGAGGGTTGTATACAAAATTAAATACGTTAAAAGTCGAAGAAGTTGGAAAAATAACACTTAAAGGACTAACAAATATAATGGAAGGAGAATTAGACGAAGATAAAGAAAAACAAGTAATTAATGATATGGTCGATAATGATGATGACGTGGTGTGTACGAGCGTTTCAGTAGTTGATAAACGTCGTCGGGTATTCAATCCAGTTGCAAAACCATGGCAGATTCTAAAATGCGCACAGTTAAAATTAAACCTAACTGAAGTACTGAAATTTAAAGGAAGAGGAAAATTTTTAAGCGAACCAGCAGAAACAAAAAAGATTATAGGAGATGGTAATTGCCTATATAGGGCATTATCATACTGGATAACGGGCACAGAAGACAATCATATGGAAATACGTAAACGTATTGCTGAGGTACGTAATATACACATTTAATAAAATGTATCTATTTAAATAATACTTTTTTATACGATTTGGTTTTAAATTACTCTAGGTGGTTAAAACTAATAAAAAGATCAACAACTATATTGGCGGGGACGACGACATTAGTATTTATTTAGAAAAAAATAAAATAGATAATGATGGTAAGATTTACTATACTAACTTTTCCAAATACAAAACCAAAAATGCAATAGAATTATCAAGAACTAATTATTTCTTATATTTATTTTTAAAAACATTTTGTGTAATGTAAAAATGATTTTTTTGTAGGTGTTTGGGGTACTGATGTTGAAATTTTTGCTGCAGCTCAATTGTTAAACACATCAATTTATGTTTATGCAACAACAACAAATACATGGCAACTTTTTAATAAAAACCTTAATTTAAAAAAATATATTTATCATACAGAACGATGCATTTATATAAGAAACATAGGTAATGTACACTATGATGTGGTTCTAGATGTTGTATAATGTAAATATTTTTATTAAGTTATAAAGTGTACAAGTAAGCTAATGTAAGATAGTACCTATATTTAAACATCAAATTTAAAGAAAAATTGCCAGAATCATTCGTTATTTTATTAATTTTATTTCATACCCTTATGTATTCTTCAATAGTTAATATGTTTAGATAATTATTTAATTTTAAGATTTTTGGTGTATCAAGGACGCTTTGTCTATTAATTCATACAACATGAATAGGTACCATAATAGGTGGACTTTTGCATATAAAATACTCTCTGTACAAAAATATGTAGGTACATACATTTATCATTTATCTACCTATATTCAGTATTATTATATATATATTACCAGTATTATTACCTATATTATGTATTGCATATATTGGGCACGGACAAATCTGAAATCGGGGACATTTTCGTGAATAAAGGTATACTGTTTCAAGTGAGCAGTACACAGGATTACCTTTGGGATTACCAGTCAGCATTTGTATTATTTCAAAATTTTAGTTTAAAAGTTATTATAAAATATTATCATAGAAAAGACACTACAATTATGTGGGTAGTAAAATTACCCCAGCTACGGTAAAATTTGTTGGTGGGTAAAAATCGCCTGTTACGATAGGCGATTTTTACCTCAGGCTATTTTTACCCCCCTGTAAATTTTACCTCAGGCGATTTTTACCCCCCCGGTAAAATATACAGGGGGGTAAAAATCGCCTGTTACACCGGCTGTCTTGTTCCGTCCGCGTTACAACCAATTACCACCGATTGTAATAACTAGTTGTCGATGAATAAAAGTGCATAATAAATTATACTCGCGTGTTGTTCTGTCTGTGTCACCCTGACTTTCCTTTACCACGTCCAGCATACTGTGTCAGTGGCGCTGTCGGTTTTTGGATCTGAATCTCGTGGCCCGTAAGGTAAGTCAATATTATATTAACCATAATACTTATCACGGGTGATTCGACTCGGGGAAAACCACATCGAAAACATTCCGGGGTTTTCCCCCTAACGAGCACCACGGGGGAAAACCGACATACAAACAACACACACGATCTGGGAAAACCAACGATGCTGACGATCGGGGGATTACCCACCATAACCAATACGTTTTCCATATAACATGTTTTGTATTTACAGCAGGAATACTAAGATGTCCACGCGAAACCAGTCAACAAACTCGTCGTCCAATAGCAACGGGGATTTTAATCTGTCGGTGGAGGACTACCGTCCCAACCGGGGGACTGTGGCAGATGTAGTCAAGCTGATCCTGGACCAGGTGTCGCTAAGTTTGCTAAACGCGCGCCGGCTAGCCGGGTTGTCCTCGGGTATCCCCACGTGGGAAGACCTGATGGCCGTGTGGCGGCGTCACGGGAGGACCCAGGTAAGAGCGGAGAGGGGCACCCAAACGTCACCGACGACCACACCCACCGCGGAGCTCCCGACACGGTCCGAGCGGACGCCGGAGGCGAAACCAGTTGACGGACGAGCACTGGCCAAGTGGGCCGTAGAGGCGACCCACCAGGAGCTGATGGCACATCCTCTGATCCAGATCGCCCTGGACCGGGGAGTGGTGAGACGCCCTCCAGCAAGGCACCCGGAACCCCGACGACTGACGAGGAAGCCGCCGACCGTCGACACCAGGAACACCAGGGTCGTGGGGACGAAGGCCGACCTCAAACAGAGAGGGACGCGACGCGACGAACCGACGGTGGCCGACCTGATAAACCTGGACACGGACGAGGAAGAGTTCCTCCAACTCCGGGTAGGCGCCCAGGAGCTTCCGGATGTGGACATGCTGTCGGGACTGCCGGACAGCGACGACGAAACCATTTTTGTTCTGTCCGCGTTACAACCAATTACCACCGATTGTAATAACTAGTTGTCGATGAATAAAAGTGCATAATAAATTATACTCGTGTGTTGTTCTGTCTGTGTCACTCTGACTTTCCCTTACCACGTCCAGCATACTGTGTCAATATCATAGGCTGACGACCGTTTTTTCTCAGAATCGTTTTTCTTGTACAATGATATTAAATATTTATATCATTGAATTCAAATTCAATACCATCCATTACACAGTGACCCACTTGAAATCAATTGTACAGCAGGGCGACTTCCACTTACCCACCTTTTTTTCTTATTTTTTCGCAATGAAAGATTACGATTTTATTTATTTTAACAATAATGAACATAATAAAATAATGATAAAATAAACATTTGGTGTAAATTTTAAGTATCTACGATTATTCATTTCTATATTACAACCACAAATATTTACATTATTTGTATAATTGTATAATATAAATATCTGTGATTACAACCAGTGTTGTGCACAGATAACTTTAAAAATATTTAGATAAGATAACAGATAATTAAATAAAACAATTATCTAGATAAAAACAGATAATTATACAGTTTTTAGGTTTTGTAAGACTTATGCCTGTATATAAATGGTAAATTAAATTATAATTAATGGGTAGGTATATATATATATAATATATATACATATACATAATATAATGTAATGTAACGTCGGCCTAATTCGCAAAAGTCGTATCTCCATTTTTTGTCATTTTGGGATTATTTACTCATAAAATAAAGAAAAAAAACTGCGTCTGTTGATACAATCAAATTTCCGATTTCATAATATTATCCTCCATGAAATTGATAATTAGAAATCGTCGTATCTCCAATTAATAATATGGCCGTAAAACGTTTTTTTCTTCTCCTGAACAATTTGTAATTTTGGACATACGACCTTTGCGAATTAGGCCGACGATAATACACATATTATTTATAACTGTATAGTTATCTAATATTATTTTATATTTTATATAAAAATACAATAATTTAGATTAAATTAAGAAATTTGGATAAAAAAAAAGGGAACGTTTAACGTATATTAATATATTGGACATTTCAAATTATCTGGACACTTAATTTTATTGTTTGATGAAACCCTTAAATACATGTTATTGCATTTTTGCAACATGTTTTAAAAATGATTATTATGTTTTACGATGTTGATTATGTGGTGCCATCTATGAGTTGATAATCCAACTAATCAATAATTAATTTTAGTATCGATTTTTAATCGAATGATAAAATATAACGGAGGGAAAAATGTCCACACAGTCTGTATGATGCAGACTTTTAAAGCTTTTGGTTTCGGTTTCCGTCAAGGTGTTGAAATATGAAAAAACAGCGGTTTTAACCGGTTTTTCAGAAACACAGTGTTGGCAATTCAGCAGGGCTATGAAAAGGTATATTATAGTCAGCGCTGCACAGAATCTGTTCGAGAAAGGACCCATGCCCCCGAACACAATAATGAATAAACGGAAGTTATAATGCTTCAAGAATAAATTAATATTAACCTGGACTACAAGGCTGTCTAAATACAATGTGACTATAATTAACCGAAATAATTATAACATGTCAGAGCCTATAAGGGCCAGTTGTACCGTCTACGATTAAACTATGATTAAGCTTAATCAGCTGATAGCAGATATTTAACAGGCCGAATTCGGCCGATTAAACTGTGATTAACTTTAATCAGAGACGGTGCAACTGGCCCAAAGCACCAGTAAGCAACCAGGAGGCGTACACCGCGGTGACAGCGATCCACTTGGCGTATTTTCTCTCTGTTGCTCCTGCAGCGGTATATAATCAATGAAAAAATTCATACCTAGCTACTTGAAAATATGTAAACCCTGTAATCTATGAAAAAATGTCTAATAAGATTTAAATTGACGTGTATAAAATTTAATTGTAATAAATTATATGTTTGTAAATAAATGTTGTATGTTGTAGTCTTGTAATATGTTTGTAATAAATTAAAATGTATATTGTTTGGGTTAGTGGAGTAGCCAGGATTATGAATTGGGGGGGGGGGGTATAGATATTAAAACCAAGTTTTTACAGTTTTCGTATATAAATAAATTTAGGGTTCGGGTCTTGACTTGTTGCACTAAAATTTATCGAAATATGCAGTCAAAATTGTCAAAATATGCTTAAATATATGCAACTACATTTTTATATTATTTTTGAAAAATGCATAAATATATTACAATTTCGGTAATAAAAACTAAAAAAATAAGTAAGTAAAATAAGATAAAGTATAATTTATTGATAGACGAGTTTACTAATTTGAATATAGTTAGGTATCTATATTCAAATTGATTAATATGATGGACAGAGGACACTATTGAATGTTTTGTACATTTTTAAAGTATTGTGAAATAAAAAAAACTTAATAATACTAGGTTAATAAATTATTAATAACGAATAACGTGATATGCGAACACCATGATAAACGAACACGTATCTACTTGTTTTCATTTCTTCATACAATCTAGAATCTTTATGTCAATTGTAGTTTTGTCACAAAGAGACTTATAAAATCTTACGTACCATATGCGAAAATAGGGCCAACTGTAGCTAAGCTCCACCAACAACTTTAACAGCCCTCCCAAACATTTACTACATTTTTTTAGGCTGATTCAATTTTATAATAGTATGGTTTTAGGCTTTGGCCTCCACAAATCTCAAAATTAGAGCCTATTGTACCTAACCAGACGTAATATTTTTTAAGATATTTTTCAATGTTATCCAAATATGATATAAAATGTTACTATTACTACTGATTTAATTGTTTTCAGATTAATTATTAAATTGCATGTTTGTATCGGTTTATAAAAGTCTTTATATTTCAAATGCCTTTTTATAAACTGAACTTTTTTTATAAAAATGACCATGGCCATTAGATAAATGAACAATATCACTAAATGGAATATAATTTGATATTTGTGTTTGCTTTTTAAATACAAGTAATAAGTAGATATATACGACTATTAATTTTCTTGATAAATTGTATAGTACAAAAGTACAACATAATTAAATAATTAAACGAAAATACTATTCTATTGATATGTAGTCCAAGTGCGATTGAATTTTATGTTGTACATATTATATTATAGTAGAATAATTTAAAATTAAATTTATATTCTATTTGGTTTGTTTTTAAGGTTCCGTAGCAAAAAACGGAACCCTTATAGATTCGTCATGTCTGTCTGTCTGTCCGTCATGGTGTCACAGCCACTTTTCTCCGAAACTATGAGAGCTATACTGTTGAAACTTGGTAAGTAGATGTATTCTATAAACCATATTAATATTTTCACTCAAAAATAGAATAAATAAATACATTTTGGGGGTTGTCTATACTTAGAACTGAAACACAAATATTTGTTTTCATCTAACCCATACATGTGGGATATTTATGGATAGGTCTTCAAAAATGATATTGAGGTTTCTAATATCATTTTTTTTTAAACTGAATAATTTGAGCGAAAGACACATCCAAAGTGGTAAAATGTGTTGGTCGTTGCCACATCGATAAAGTAAAATATTTAAGTAACTTTATTGTCATATTTAAAAGGTGATTTTTAAATGATTTAATATAGATAGGTAATTATATATTTTAGAAAATTAAGGTTTCAGAAATATAGTATAAAATATATATTAGACCACTTTAGGTTATTTGATATTAGCAAGACTTTAACAACAGTTAAACCATTTATTAATCTTAAAAACAAACTATGTAGGATCTAGGATCATAGCTAAATACAATTTTAATGTTAATATTATTTATTTTTTTTTAAAACGTATCTACTATAATGCAGAGATAGTGTGACGGTATATATGAAAAAAAAATTAAATTATATATGTCCATTCATGTCCAATTATTACCTAATAATCGCTAGGAATCAAATGTGTACTGGTTATTAGAGGGATTTTTATCATTGCCCAACATTTTTAAAAACCCAAAACAAATAGATTTATTAAAAATTTGAAATAAACAAATAATAATTAAAAACATCAAATGTATCAAAAAAGGATACTGAAAAATGTCAACAAATCAAAGAATAGGTACTGCCGGTAGATGATATATCAATGTTCTTGAATTTATAGTACCTATGGAATCAAAAAAAAATGTGCAATCGGACCAGAAGTTTTAAGTTTTAAATAGCTAGTACATAATATAATATAGTATAATATATAGGGGTCACCAATTCATATTTTTGAAGGTCCACATTAGGAATCTGGAAATTGTTGACGAAATTGCAGACGTCAGTAAGAACCAATGTACAAAAATGATATAAGTATTACAACATTAAAACCTGCTTTTCGATTTTTTTTTCAATTATTGTCGATAAATAATTTTTTTTGTTGAATCAAAAAGCTTGAAAATTTACGGAAAGGCCATAAGTCATTTCATATTAGAAGTTCAAAAGTAATGGACATGCAAAGATCGTTCTCAATGATGCGTAATATCAACCCCTCAATCATTATAAAATTATTTTGTATTTAAAAATGTATATAATTATCAATTTTTTTAGATAAGAACTTAAAGTTCAAAACAATGATAAAATATTTATAAATATAAATTATACCCATGTATTGCAAATAATAGTTAACAACTAGGCAACAAAAAACAGCGGTAAAACTAAAATACTAACACGACACTAGTTTTGAATAAAATTTATTTTTATGCTTTTGTTGTTATTAAAAAAAAATTAGGTAAAACTAATGAGTTAAAATCTTAATCAAATACTTAGAGTAGGTACCTACATTTTATATACCTAGACTTGATATTATAATGTTTAAAATATTTTAAATTTCGTAGAGTCTGCATAGGTAGTAGGTACCTACCTAATAAGTAGCCAAGTATAGGTAATAACTTGGGTATTATAATAGCAAAATTACATTAAACATACAACATCTAGGACTTTACAAAATAGTAAAATGTGATTTTTATTCATTAGATTTACCGAATTCGTTACCAAATGTATTCATTTATTTTTTCCATTATTATGTTGTGTTTCTTATGTATTATGATTTTTTCACATTTTTTTTTATTATGTTTGTATTTTTATAATAAATTTATATAATATTATATTAACACTATTATTATTGGGATTTTATAAAACCGGATTTGACAAGAAAAAGAATATGGGTTCTAATATTTACTACGATAACCATATATAATAATATTATATATTATGGTATATTATACCATTATACCTATACCAACCTATAGGTGGTCTTAGGATTTGAATTTTGAAAGGAGTTTAGTCTCGATACATTTATGACATAATATAACGAGCCATGGCTGATGGGCCCTTCGCTGATAAATTATTTAACTAAAAGCGGTTTTTGAATAAATCGGGCTTATCAAATATATCCTAAGTGCACCTATATAATTGTATAACTAATTTCAATTACTGCGATCTAAACTATGCAACCTACAATAGCACAATAATGACAACAATTCACTAAATATCAAAATGTTAATAAATATATAATACTATAGTCTATCAAATAGATTCTATATACCTACCTAAACAGTTATAATTATTTAGGTAGGTAGGTATTTATAAATTTAAAGTTTCGAGAGTTTGTTAAATTATCAATCATCTTTGGTAACACGACTAAAATTATTTAATTGCTTTTCTGGGTTATTAATTCATCGTCGTATCATAATATATTATAGCACTACAGATTTGGATTGACTCTTATTATATTTTGCAGGTAATAAGCTATAATAAATGTTGGACTATTCGGGATAAGTCAAAACATAAAACTAGTATATTTCAAATATACTAAACATAATTCGCGTCTTCGCACGATTAGGTATAATATTTTAATACGGAATGTAGTATTTAATGATGTTTAGTATTCATATTATTATTATTATAACGCATAATTGTTACACTGTACATGGTAATTTATTATAATTTCTACTGTCGTTTTCAACGATATTTTGTTGATTTTCTTCAACAGGTTCATCTCCCCATGGTTGTACTTCCGCCGAAGCGAAAACGGCATAGAACGCAGCCGCAGCAAAACATATTATCGATACCGAGATACCAGTTTCGACATCATTAAGTTTCTATGTTCAAACATAATTATTACAACTGTTAATTTCATTAAATACAAATGGGAAATTAAGGACGTTTAAAATGTATTTATATTAATTACCGCAAAACTCAATATTGGATGTACGACATAGAACCAAAAAAAGTCTGTAATATAATAATGTGTGCACATCAGGAAACCAGACAATAAACTGGCATATTTTGGTGCGATGTCTAAAATATTTACGTAGAATCCTATACAAAACCAACGTAATTTTGTAATTAAGTAGTCACAGTCTTAAACATTGTATAACTATGTTTCACATGCCTTCAAATGTAGGTAGGTATACTCACCGAAATTATAAAGATGACGAATTTCTTTAAACAAGTATTGGTATATTTTATTGCTGTTAATAATATCCCCTAAAATGGCCTTCAGAAAAAAAATAATTCCCAATGAACCGAAATACGAGCAACTCCAAATCTTTCTGACGTTGGTGGTGGAAATGGGCAAGGCAATTTCTGGAACTAATTCGATCAGGACGACGAAGAGAAACAAGAAGACGACAATGTTATCTCTCATGGTCCATTCGAAAACGTCAACGTCCTGTTTTGTCATCAATTCGTTTAAAGGCAGCAATATATTATTATAAAACAGATATCTCGTTAAAACAGAAGTATACAATATGACTTGTTAATGTATTAAAAAAGACACATACGCTGTAACTATAATAATCACTATTATATGGTTCACACACGTACAATACGACTATCGCAAGGAACGGTTTAGAAGTCCAAATCGATTTCCATGGAATGTCCGATACGATTGATCGGGTTAATGATTCGCCATATGTCCCAAAAGAATATCGCGAGTTGTTTAAACCTCCAAACAATATAAAATCGAGGTTCAGGCTCTGAAATGAATAATTTCCGTTGATCACGTACAACCACAAAACGTACCAGGCCAATCCGATCACACCTAAAATTAAGTACATAATCATGATATGTATATACATGCAATATCGTGGGCTGAGAGTAAAAAGGTTCTATGATTTTTTTTTTTGAAATTCACTTTTTCAAATATTCCTTATAAGTTTTCAATGGCTCGTGTTTTAAGCTAGAAATCAGTTTGATACGAGTAATAACGAATGAGATACACAAAGCAAAAAGGTCCTATGTCTTTAAAATTAACAAATTCGTTATTTTTGAATGGAACCTTTTACTCTATAAAAATATTGTTTTGAATTTTGATTCTATTTTATTTTATTTTTATGAATTTATTAGATATTGAATGTACTGAATGTTGTATCACATTATTATACATTTATACAGAATAATTTAAATAAAAAGTTATTCAATAAAATATTAATGATTGACGTTTGAGATAAAATTATTTTATATTATGTTGATCTGACTGGTCAACATTGTGTAATCTGCTATAGGGTAAATAGGTTCTATCTATTAAATAAAACATTTTTAGAGAGTAAAACAGTCCTTTGTATAGAACCTTTTTACTCCAAACTGTTTTTTGTGGTTTTTTATTTTTTAAGAACTAACTAAAACAGTGAGATGCTATATTTTCATGTAATATTGTTAAAGAAAACATGTTTGATTTTTTAATATCAATTATAAACAATTATCCCTATATGATAAAAATATATTTGATAACAAACCTTAAAAATGCTCTCCTGAAAAATTAGATATTTTGACATATAACCTTTTTACTCCCAGCCCACGATATGTCCGTATATGCAATTATTATATTATCCTGATGTTCAAGTGCTCAGTTTTACGATTTCATTGTAAGCATACCAATAAATAGAGTTAAAGCATAAGACGAATATTCATTGTGGAGCTTTTCCATAGTATTAAAGATATATCCTTCATCAAATATCACCATGTACAATACCATTGGAACGTGGCGTATTGATGACTGTTTATTCAGTGGGACCCAATACGTCCAAACCCTGTCAATTGACACATCCACCACTGCCTATAGGAAAATAATGCATAAAAACTGTTACTATTTATTGCTGTGTGCTATGGAATCACACTTTGCAAATAACAGAATCTTGTTTTTACCATTGACAATCCAATACACAATTGTAAGATACAAATCGTGAGACCGTTTAAGTAATTTAAACTCATGATAACAATTACATGACCAATCGACGATATGGCGACGCAAATCCCTAAAATACTAAAAACATCATTATTACACTAAAATGCATTATAATATTACATTTTAAGCTAGATATACGGTATATATAGGGCTAGGATTATTACACAAGAAGTTGTTATAATAGTGCTATGCAGCACTGTTGTTCGAATTAAGTTGTACGAAATAACAAAAAACACGTAGTACAGTTACAGCAGTAACTTTAGTAGAAATATTATTTGTTTTGCACATTTTTGTACTCGAGTTCTGTGGTATATTTTTTTGTCAGAACTTAGAGGTAACAGTGAATTTTTATAATTTTAATTTATAATCATTAAATTAAAAGTAGGCAGTCTGTACAGAATACGCATACCAAATAATATACAGTTAAAAAAGAATGGTTATTATTTGAAAAACAAAAGCTTATATCAAAAATCTCAAAATTGGAAAATACGGTCTAAACCTCACTGAACAAATGAGAATTCTGATGAATTCATTATTAAACGAATAAACGAGGTGATGCTGCTTGGTGAAGCATTCTGCAATCCGTATATTAACACATTGGATCATAATAAGCACATATGTACTTACTAAATATAATATCCATATTTTATATTTTATATAGCATATAAATCTTAGCCCTATATTATAATTATTGAGTATCTCTCGATTACTTGTGAGCCGGATATAAAGTGGATAGAACACCACCGGGTATCAAACCGACAGTATATCCAAGCGTATTGTATGACATGCAACCACCAATATGAACATTGTCAGTCTGTAATTATATTATAATAATATTATTTAAATAGATAATTAATATACTTAAATGTGGTGATTATCGAAATCGATTACATATTTGGTATAATATATAGGCACTATTATATAGGCACTCACTTTATTTGATTGATTTATAAAATCAATAAATTTGTAATATGTACTGTATTGAAGTGACGTAATAAATACACCTATAAAAAAAAATTAGTTCAATACACATAATATACATATGGCCATTGACCATTGATTGTGAATACTATTGAATATTGCTATATTACTATTTATCATGACCAGTGCTCGTAATTTCATGCATTTGCATACATATCTTGTTAAGTTGTATTTAATGCTAGATTACATAGAAATCCATTTAAAGGTTAAGTAAGTAAGGTCTTATTTTGCATGTTTTTGCATATTTAGAGGTTTTTTGCTTATTTAGCATATTTATGCATAAGTCTATTATACAATATGATTTTGATATTCCTATTTATATTATTATATCAATATGCATTTTTTTATGGAAATACTACCTATGAAAGAATCCACATTTGACCAAAAAAAAAACGAGATCGTTAATAATCTATATAAAATCTATTTTTTTAATTGTGACACAAAAAATTGAATAAACTATAAAAAAAATTAATGGATAATTCATGTTATTTCAAAAATTGTTTATGATTTTTTTAGGTAAGCATTTTCAAGTGCATTTTAGATATTTAATGGCTAGTACATATAAATGCATATATTTTTTTTTAACTTTTTAAGGCATATTTCAATGCATATTTTGCCAATTTTTAGTGCATAAATGCATGCTTATTTAGGCATTTTTTATTTCATAAGCTTACGAGCACTGATCATAACAAATTATGTATGATAATTATTATATTATCTACAGATATATATTTTAAAATGTATTTAAAATGTGTACCTATTTAACAATTTTGAATACTCAGTAAAAATGTATTTGAGTATAAATACAAATAGGAACTTTAAAAAAATATGTATAGAAAGGTACTTTTAAATAATTTCAAATTGTTTACCTATAAAACGTTCTTTTCTCTCCTATAAATCAACTAAACCGTTTTTCATGTTTTAACTTCATTTTATTAGTGTTATACACATTATCATTCAGTGGAACTAAAAAATACTCATCTGTTTTCTCTATCGAAGTATATTATATATTAGTGTATTGATAAAAATTAAAACAGAATATAATATACAAACTAAAATGTTTAAGTATTGTATGTTAAATATACAGATATGGTTAAATTGCTGACATCAATCGACGAAACCTGCTATAGGGGGTATATTAATTGTACTTTTACTGTAATAAATAAATTGATTGCACTCAATATTATTATGTTTTCATCTCTTCTGACAGCCGTCCGGTTTAATTCAAAACAGAGAACCAGAGTGATACCTAATAAATTACTATTATATTATATCAACCGCTAGAACTCAGTTAAGGCTAGTATAGTAGTATAGTCGGCTAGATTAACTTGTTAAAAATGAATTACATCATGACATTTTTGAAATAATTATACTTGAAGAGTTTGTTATAAATAAATAAAACATACGAGTAAATAATATATATTGTGAGAATTTGCTTTTTATTCAAGAAAAGTGTCCACACCTTTTCATCTAAACTGAAATATTATATTATATGTGTTTGAATACTCGTAGACGGCTGCAGAGGACAGGCAGGGGCGTACCAGGAATTCATTTTTTATCATGCAAAGAGTATACAATGTCATTCAATGGTTTTCGCCACAAGAGTTTTAAATTCTGTCAATCGATGGTGGGGACCTAGACTCCCCCTCTCGGGTACGCCCTTGTCGATATGGGCAACAGAAAGTTACATTTCACGAAGTGGTATTACATTTTACATAATGCGAATCGTCAGTAGGATGAATGAGTTCTTATCGAATACGTCATAGCGGTGCTACGATTTACCTATAATTGCAAGCAAAACTATTGCGTATTCTCTGTTCCAATATGTAGTTTTCAAACGGATAAGCCTGTCGATGAATTTGGGCGACAGCTGTTCTGGTAATTGGATGTGATTTGGAGAGTCACATCTATTGGTCGCGTTTTCCTCAAGACCCATCTTCCACACTTGTTGCAATGAAACAGCGGGTTTGGCTGTGAATTTTTTGACAGTCAAAATTAAAAACGGTTAGGCATAATAGTCTACGGAGAAGTTATTTTTATTTAACCAAAAATATAAAAATAATCCTTTAAATAAGTTATTATTTACTTATATTTTTAAGCGATTCCCTAATCATTTGTTGTATAACACCTATATGCGTATAGACATGTATAAAACATCATTTTTAATAAATATTATAGTTGCACTATTGATTCCAAATTTTCGCAGTTATATTTTGTTGTACTGACGTTGTTTTAATAAGAAATGTTTAAATAGGTAATGCAAATTGTCAAATTAACATATTTTAATAAAACATGTATATTTACACGTAATGATTTCGTTCTAGATCATATAGTTATTACTTATTACTATTATTAGTTAATAGGTAGTTTATACAACATCATAAATCATATTATAATGTGCAGTTGTATATACTTACGACCTACCAATTACAAATCGTACTTAATCTTTCAACAATATTATAACTACTTATATAATAATATATGTATGACACTTACTTTGATAGTTTCCCGAACGTTTCAAATGTGTAAAAATGATGATCCGATCGTGTATCTTGCAGTATAACTGTTTAAGTGTGGTGTGACTATGTGAGCTGTGAGCAACGAATAACATAAATTGTACAGAAATTGTATATAGTGTATAAGTTATACATAAGCCATATGGCGCAAAATAACTCCATGATTAATGTTTATATAATATGATATTATTATATTAATTATCTTTAGTTTTTAATGCATCCACAACAGTCAACTCGACAATATAATATTATTATGTTTTTTGTCTATAATATCCGTCACCATAACTGAATAGTAATGATTTTAGTTATATTTTATAGATTATTTCAAAATCAAATTAATTTATCACCGAGCCCATATATTTGTTGGTGAGTATTAGGATTAAATACACATTATAAATAATATGTTATCATAGTACCTACTATGCACTATACAGCACCTGAGTCGGAATTTGGTTGTACAAACGATAGTGAAAAACGCTTAATATAATTTAATACAGAAAAAATGCAATTAAATCTAGTCTTTAAAATATATAATATAACATTTAGTATTAAAAATAATGTAGTAATTATTATTGTTTATTACTAGTTTTACCACCTGGAGCGGCCAGTGTAAAAGATTTGTTTTTTTTATAAATATATTTGAAAAAAAGGTGGGCAAGTGGGTGTCGCTCTGCTGTACAGTAGGTTACAAGTGGGTCACTGTATAATGGATGATATTAAATTTGAATTCAACGATATAATATCATTGTATAAGAAAAACGATTCTGAGAGGAGACAGTATGTCAGTCTATGTATAAGACATATTATATACATATCTATGGTATTAAACAAAAAATTGACCTATAATAGGTACCTATAATAAATTCCAAATTAATCATATCACAATATCCATTAGGTACTTATAAGCGTTATACATCAACAAAAACCGTGATACTATCATAGATATATATTATATAATAGTACACTTTAGAAGTTTCAAGTACCCACGAATAATATTATTCAATCACAACAAAATAACTAAAATAGTTATTCTAGGTTTTTTAATATGTAATTTCGTCCAAATTTGAATTTAAAATGTTTGTAAAAAATAACTGTGTTCATATATTTTTTAGATTTTTTGGTTACAGTATGAACTATTTACGAGAACCTTTGTGCTGAATTTGCAATCCTTAGCTGTAAAAACTGAACATTTTATAATTTATTACTTACAATGATTGATAATTTTCGAGATTTTTATAAATTTTGTCAAAATTTGATCTTTAAATGCTTATAAAAAAAACTGTGTATATGTATTTTTAATATTTTTCAACTGATATTGAAACAATATATCAGGAGCCTTGTATTACATTTTTACACTTTTTGGCCCAACAGATAAAACTTAATTGATATTTATAGAAAAAAAAAACTAAAAAAAATTGAAAGAGAGTCAAAAAGAGTCAAAATATTTTCAAAATTGTATGGTGTATAGGAAACGCTAATATAAACATTCAGTGAAATTTTCATGTAACTACAGTTATTCGTTTTTGAATTACAACAAAATAAGGAAATCGCTACATGAGAAATCGAGTGAACATTCAATGTTGTAAAAATTTGAATTTCAAACGCTCATAAAAATTTAATTTGACTTTCCGGTAGAGATTTTTTTATTGATAAAGGTAGACAAACTTATGAGTAACCTTGTATTACATTTTAAAATCTTAGATTTAAAAAGAAAATTTTTTACGAATTCTTAACTCAAAATAATTCGTTAATTTTCGTGATTTTTCCATATTTTTACAATTTTTGAACTTTAATGAATATTGATAGCCACACTTTAGGACGCTTAAATTTGAAGAGGGCAGTATATAAATCAGATCGAAACTCCTGAATATAATTCAGTTTTCTGTATCTACCTTTATTAAAAACAATAGGTACTACCTAGGTAGGTACATTTTAAATAAGTGCTCGCGTCGAGATATAAGAAGAAGAATTTTATTTTTAATTGAGTATTATATTGTGTACTCACTCAAAGTCGTGTACAGCGGGTAGGCCTGATAGGCCCGGGCCTACTCTTATTTTGAATCCTTATATAATATACACAAAATACGTGTTTTAAAATTAAAAACAAGAAATTTGCATATATTTTTTTTTACACACAAAACATCGACATCTGAATGTGAAATGTAAAGACTTTGGCGAACTGCGTATGTACCCATATTTCCGTGTTTCTGTGTATCGATCATAATATTTTATGCCACCACTGACGACACCAAACACCAATTTTGGAGTGTCTATGCACCGACGAGAGAGTCACCACTGATAATTATCATAATAAATTATTAGATTATTAGTACCTATTAGTTTTTAAATATAGATATGTATTTATTTTCACCTTTTAATCATGATTCATGATTATCATACGAGATATCAAAAAAAAATTAATTTCACCAAATATATATGTAACTCCAATTTTGGTTACCTACACATTTCTAACATTTTCCGGTGACTGTTAGTATATTTTTAATATCCATTCAAAATGTTGACATCGTCCAAAAATAGCAGTGATAATGTCAACGATTCACTAAATGTCAACTTATAATGTTAATACATATATAATACTTTAATCTATCAAATAGATTCTATATACCTACCTAAACTGCTATAATTATTTAGGTAGGTAGGTATTTATAAATTTAAAGTTTCGAGAGTTTGTCAAATAATCAATCATCTTTGGTAACACGACTAAAATTATTTAATTGTCTTTCTGGGTTATGAATTCATCGTCGTATCATAATATATAGCACTACAGATTTGGAATGACTCTCATTATATTTTGCAGGTAATAAGCTATAATACATTTTAGACTATTCAGGGTAAGTTAAAACATATAGCTATAGTACTTACATTTCAAAAATAGTAAACATAATTCGCGTTTTTGCACGATTAAAAAATGTTAGGTACTATAAAATTTAGTATTTAACAATTATAGTAATTAGTATTCATATTTTTAATTATTATAACGCATAACTGTTATACATTGTACATTGTAAATTATTATTATTTATTGTCATTTTCAACCACATTTTGTTGATTTTCTTCATCAGATTCATCTGCCCATGGTTGAAGTTCCGCCGAAGCAAAAATGGCATAGAACACAGCCACGGCAAAACATATTATCGTCATCAGGATAGCAGTTTCAACTTCATTAGGTTTCTATGTTCAAATATAATAATTACTACAGTTAACTTAATGTAATACAGATAAGAAATGAAGAACATTTAAAATGTATTTATATTATTACCGCAAAAGTCAGTATTGGACGAACGACATATTCCCATACAAAGTCGGAAATATAATAATGTGTGCACATCAGGAAACCAGACAATAAACTAGCATATTTTGGTGCGATGTCTAAAGTATTTGCGTAGAATCCTATACAAAACCAACGTAATTTTGTAATATTATGTAGTAACAGTCTCAAATAGTATACACCCATTCCTTTAAAGTTTAAAGGTAGGTATAGGTATACTCACCAAAATTATAAAGATGACGCATTTCTTTAAACAGATATTGAAAAATTTTATTGTTTCTTATACTATTCCCTAAAATGGCCTCCAGAAAAAAAATAATTCCCAATGAACCGAAATACGAGCAACTCCAAATCTTTCTGACGTTGGTGGTGGAAATGGGCAAGGCAATTTCTGGAACTAATTCGACCAGGACGACGATGAGTAACAACAAAACGACAGTGTTATCTCTCATAGTCCATTCGAAAACGCCCTGTGTTGTCATCAAGTTATTAAAAAAGACAGCAATATAATATCATAAAACAGATATCTCGTTAAAACAGAAGTATACAATACGACTTGTTAATGTATTGAAGAAGACACATACGTTACTGTATAAATCACTGTAGTAATATGATTGGTAAAGTCGATTATCACACACGTATAATACGACTATCGCAAGGAACGGCTTAGAAGTCCAAATCGATTTCCACGGAATGTCCGATACGATTGATCGGGTTAATGATTCGCCATATGTCCCAAAAGCATATCGCGAGTTGTTTAAACCTCCAAACAATATAAAATCGCGACTCAGGCTCCAAAATGAATAATTTCCGTTGATCACGTACAACCACAAAACGTACCAGGCCAATCCGATCACACCTAAAATTAAGTACATTATATTATATTCATAATATACAGGCAGTATGTCCGTATATATGCAATTGTTATAATATCCTGATATTCAAGCGCTCAGTCTTACGATTTCATTGTAAGCGCATACCAATAAGTAGAGTTAAAGTATAAGACGAATGTTCATTGTGGAGCTTATCCATAGTATCACGGAGATATCCTTCTTCAATTAGCACCAAGTACAATACCATTGGAACGTGTCGTATTGACTGTTTATTCAGTGGGACCCAATACGTCCAAAC